CCTCCTCCTCCTCCTCCTCCTCGCCCACTGCTCCAACGGCGGCCGCTTAGGTGACTGTCCCGCGCGCAACAACCGACACTACCACCACCTCCCCCGACTCCAGGGATGAGGATCAGGACTACATCTGCCCTCACTGCGACCGCACCTTCACCTCACACATCGGCCTGGTCGGTCACTTGCGAATCCATCGCACAGAGACTGGCGAACCAGTGCGCGAAGCACCAACCTACACCCACCCCACTCGCCTCCACTGCCCACACTGCCCTCGCACCTTCAGGCATCGCATGGGCCTTTTCGGCCACATGCGCATCCACGAGAGCGGCCTTGACCGCACTCCCGACACACCCACCACATCCAACACATCCACCGTGCACACCCCCACCCTCGTTCCATCCATCCGCGCCACCACCACCACCGCCACCGCCTCCTCTGTAGCTGACACTGACACCGCCGACTTCTCATGCCCACACGGTCCATGCACATTCACCTCACGCATCGGCCTGGTCGGTCACTTGAGAATCCATCGCACAGAGACTGGCGACCCAGTGCCTTGAGCACCCACCTATACCCACCAAGCTCGTCTCAACTGCCCACACTGCTCTCGCACTTTCAGGCATCGCATGGGCCTATTCGACCACATGCGCATCCACGACGACCTGCGGTAGACAACCGCCGGTTACACCACACATCCACACACTCCCTAACTCCTCCACCACCACCATCACCCCACCAGAAATCAACACTCACACACCTCATGCACCCAACTGCTACCTCCCACGCAAATGGGAAGTCCGCATCTCGACTCGGTCCCCATGCGGCTTCGGCTGCACGGGTGACTTGAGTCCGAGACTATCCCGACACGTCAAGCGTCGTGGATAGGAAGGTTGCTGATTGACGCCCGCTCTCGGTTTACGCAGTTCGTCGCGTTGTGTGTGTGTGTGTGTGTGTGTTGTGTGGAGTGGCGGACTGGTGGGCTGGAGACGGGCTGAAACAGCACCTTCCACGACACTCTCACGCAAGTGAGAGACACGCCGTTGAACCCCCGTTGTGTGAAATCCTGGTGTTTGTGTGCATGGGGGGCCAGGTCGTGCCGTGGCGCGCGCAGGCATGGTCAGTCGACCATGACAGCCACAGCGCCCATTCCCCACTCCAGTCTGCTGACCGGCTCGGACAGCGGCTGGGGTGTGGGAATGGGAAGGGAGAGTGAGGTCGACGACTCAGCGCACTTTCTCCTCACTATAAACAATCTGACCCGCTTGAAGCTATCACGGTGCGCTAAAAGCCATGGCTTGGAAGGTTGCCAACTTACGGGGTAACTTGGACGTCCTCCTTGACCGAAGGCGGTCTGAGAGTCAGGCTGCAATGGCTCCTTTTTAATGTGGCCTTTATGGCACTCCTACCACAGTGTGGGATCCGAGCCAGGCGTTGGCGGCACGCCCAGGTGCGGCTTCGGCCGTGCCAGCCTCCAAATCTCTGTTGTGTTGGTTGAAATCCTGGTTATTTGTTGTGTGGACCAGGGGGTGTGGTGAAAAGCCAAGGTGAGGATCCGTCCGAGCCATCCACCTGCGGCCTCTCTCGTCTCCGGTCTTCTTGACTCTGTCTTGACACCGGGCTTGGGCGAGGGAGGAGGAGAGAGTGTAGGTAGATGCTACGCAAGTCTACTGGCACTATAAACCCCTGCGTAAGTCACCGTCCCTGCTCCCACAATGCAGTCTGTGGGGCACACGGTGGACATCATCGAAAACGATGGTCGAACAGTAGTGTAGCACACGGTGGACTTCGTCGGAAACCAGGGTCGAACTGTCATATGTATACATATATAATGTTGAGTATGACTTGCTGACGACAGCTAGCGAGCCAGAAAAGTCCATTCCAGTCTTCATTCTCTTCGTTGGTAGTAACATTCTGTTCTATTTACATCTATATTCCGTGATGAAGAGACACCATAATCTATCCCAATCGGCCATGCACGGCTGGACACTAGACACAGATTTGCAT